TGGATTTCAGAACTGAACAATATAAACTAAACATGAGATAATTTTTGATATCTCTGCTAAAGAAAGCCATAATGCATAGTTTGGGATCCTAAATTATAGCTGGATTTTCTGCTCTTAAGTGTTCATTTGCTTACGTGGGAGGGGCCAATGAAATAAAGTAGCAACAATTTGTACCAATGCATGACTTTTTATTTCTTTGGATCAAATAGGAAGTGATGTGTGGACTTAAACTGTTTTCAAATGGCCTTTCCAATTCTGTTAGAAGCAATGTTCAGGCTAAACTGCCAATATTTTTCTTCAGTGTGAAAAATGCTGACTGTGGGACTTGTGTTAAAATACAGCACACACACACCTAAGAATCTAATGTCCTATCTATTGTTGGGTGTGACTCTATTAGCTTTGCATGTTGTGAATTATCTGGACTACAAACCCCTGTTCTTTTTCTTTCCTTCTCAGTATCTGTGTAGTGATCATTTTCCTGCTCACTGGTGTATCCACTACTAAAATACAAGTGAAAATAAAAGGAGAATATAAAGGAGACACTTCCTACCTCTGGGAGGAATACAAAAAGCACACACATTTGTACCAGTTAGCAGCCCTAAATATCTGTTGAATAAATAGTTTTAAACAATTGACTGAAATACATATTTTGAATCTGCAAATATTTCCTGAAACACAGAAGCTGTGTAGGTTAGGCAGCTACGGTATAGCTCTACAATTCAGAGGATCCCTTCTATTTTTGGCACAGAAGATAGTCACATGGCTATGAAACATGAATTTGGATGCCAAATGAATAACAAGCTTGGAGGCTGAGCTCCAAGTGACTTCAAACATCTGTGAAATGAAAATATCCCTGTACCAAGGCGTGCTACTGTGTTGAAAACAATTACTGTTACTGATCATTTTCTTGCTTAAAATAAAGTACATCTCTTCTCATGGGAGCAGGTGTAAGGGTGACTTTGTGAATCTCCATTAATCAAATCACAAATGGATACCCTCCCCTATTCTTGTAAATCCATGCAAACAAAATTACACTTTTTAACATCTCAAAAGAAGAAGTGTGCAATTTGTTAGCAAGAAAGGATAAATTTCACCTTCTCACTTCTCCAGGATTCATAGTAATCCAAAATCAAGAGAGCACAGACACTTTGAAAATCTGCCCCTTTAGCCCCTCCTTTGGTATATTAATGACTACAAGATGTTGGACGCATATTTGAGCAGTAAGAAGAACCTGCTTCCCAAAGGGAAAAAGAAACTGGGAACAGACCCAGAGAAACAATAACTTAGTGGACAGGTCTAAGAAACTCTGAATATCAGCACGTTCCAAAGCTTAGTAACAAAGCTTAGAATGTCATGTGATCTTTACTTGCAAGTCAGCGCAAACCTTTTCTATCATTATGACATCTAAAGCATGACTTATTTTTCATAAACAGATATTTTTCTTACGTTGGAATTTATCCTACGATGCTACAATTAGCATTCTGCCATTCTTTTTTGTCATAGTCATACAATGGTTTACTATCTACCTTTAAAAAGTAAAGAGTTAAGAGAGAAGGGAAATTGGTATTAGGTCCTGCATTGAATTTAGGTTCCTCTTTAAAGGATGCAGTGAAACAAAAATGTCCTCCTTTCAAAATGCTTATTTTGGATTTGAAGAGCATTCTCACCCAGGTGCCATTCTTTCTGTCTTTTACTTTTCTTCCAATTGTCTTACCTTTCCTCCACACATCCGTGATGCAGATTAGCACTGGCCTCCAAGCCTCAGGCATCAAAGGAATTAGGTCAGACCAGAAGAAATCAGGTTGCAGGCAAGAAAAAAATTTTAATAAAATAGAAGCTATGCCAGCCTGGAGCTTCTGTACTCCTTCAGGCAGACTAACAAGCCCTGGTCTTAGGTAATTGATACGTGAGAGAAAAACAGAGATGTTTGAGAGACCAAAGATTTGTATAGTATTAGCAACGTGATGATATGTTGAATTTATTTGAAGCCAGTCTGTACATAGTGCTCTGATGGGCTTGGTGCTCAGCCTTAAAACAATTGCAATTAAAAATAATTCCAGGAAAAGAGAAAAGATCTAGTGCAATATCTGTTTGCTATAATTTATGAGTTTTTAAAAGTCACTTTGTATTTGTATTCCATCTGAGATTAGTGGTCTTTTAAAGCATATATTAAGTGTACACAGAAAATTAATTTTATGTTAGCATGTTTAATGCTTACTTACTCAAACAGCGTATTATCTTCTTTTGAGTTATTTTAAGGACAAAAAATAGAAAGAGATTGTACTGGAAAATGTTCATTCTCCAGATGATCATTTTAGTTGCCATTATTACTGGCTCCAAAATGATTGGAGGAGCAATTCAAATTCAACCTATCACATTATCCAAGGGCATTCTATGAATAGCTGCAACCAAGAGCAAGTTCTGGCAAAGATGCAAAGGCAGCGTATCGAAGTCAGCAATAGCATTCAAGAGTGTTTTCCAGAGTTGGCGAATGCAGATGAGAATATTTATATGTCATCTCTCAAACTATAGAAAGTATTTTGGGAAAGATATTTTTCACAAGTCTTAGATTAGCCATTATAGCAATTTAAAGGAGGTTTTTGTTTGTTTGTTTGTTTTTGTTTGTTTGTTTTGGATGATGAAACAAACCTTTGGGTGATGCCAGTCACATTTACACATCATCCCATTTAATCCTTGCAGCAGCCCCATGAGGGAGATATTGGTGTCTGCATTTGTGATGAGAAACTGAGGCGCAGGCACTAAGCAACTTGCTAAAGACCTCAAATTTAGAAGGAATCTGAGGGAATTTCTAGAGGTTTTTCTCACTACTGGAAACAGTTTTAAAGTTTTAAGAAAGGTGAAGCCTCTTTGGTTTCTGAATGTAGTAAGTCTCAAATTCTGATAGCTCTCACACCTCTCTTCAAAAAGGATCATCAGTAAGATCATTTTAACCAAGGGAAAAATATTATCCTACCTAACATGTATTGAGAAATTACTTCTACCAAATATACTTAAATTTTTCATGCATAAATTCACGTAATACTCACTATAAGATATAGTTACCATCCCCAGTTGAAGAAAGGGAAACCGAGGCAGACAAAAGTTGAGTAATTTCCCTTAGGTTATCAGGTAGACAGAGTAAGAGCCAGGACTCGTTAAATGATTTTGTGAATATAAATGAATACCAATAACTAAGGACACATTTTGCATATACCGTGCTTTTTGTCTAGAATTATCTTTCCTCTTCACCATCTTCTCCTACAGTTCAACTTTAATGTCAGCCTTCCCACATCCACCTCTCTAACTTAGAAGCCTTTCTGTCTTCATGGTGTAGTGCTATCATATCATCTATCACATAGTGTAGTAATGATATCCTTAACTTTCTCTCCACTTGGATGCTAAGCTCGCGGGGGGAAGAGACTCCATCTTCCATGTCATTGTATCACTAGTAATATTACTTGTTATGTAGCAGCCACCTAAAACAGGTTGGATTTACAAGTGGAAGAAAGAAAATAATTGAAAAATACTTGGTTGCAATAGATGGATAATTGGGTGAAGGATGGCTAGATTTATTGATGGATGAATACACGGATGGATGGAAATATAGAAGAATAAATGACATACACATAGGAAACATATGAGTCCGTCCAATGTGTGTGCCAGTTTTAAATAGAGAGAGCTTCCTGGGTGCATTTCTAAAAAGAAGAACTTTAAAAAAAAAATTCAGTCGCTTTTCTGCCTTATCTTTAATTACTGTTCTTTTTTCTATTGTTTTCTTTTAATGGCCATTAATAATGACCCAGCAAGCTGGTGATAAATTTGTTCTTGGACGTTTTCCCTACTTTTTTGTTATGTATATATCAAAGTTTTTGGCTTGATTTCACTCTTCTTAAGTAAAGGAGACTTTTATTTCTCTAATTACCTTCGAGTTCCTGCATCGAATGCACTGCATTCCTGACTCCCTGGATGTAGCCCTCCACTCCCCTCAGCCATTTGCCTAGCAGGCGCTACTTGAAAGTTTGGCCTCTAGTATCCCTACTAGATTGAGCAATGAAAGCAGCATAAAATCCTAAACCTACTGTCAAGTGTGAATCCTCTACTTCAGAACAGATATATCATCCTGGCCCTAAAAAGAAACAGACCACATAATATTTCCAATATTGTCATAAATTCATCCACTTTGAGTATTTGTTATATTTACTTACCAGGCAGAGCAGGGGAAAAAAATGTTTTTGTCATCAATAACCAAAGTATTGTAAGAAAACATTAATTTCACTTAAAAAAAAAGGCATGGAAACTGTAGGCTACCATTATGGATGCCTTATGATATAGCTTATAAATACAATATTATATTAAGAATGTAATTGCTAGAGACATTGCTCCATGAAAGATGTCGGGTTGTTTACAAGAAAAAAAAAATGTCATGTCCTCCTCTGAGAGTTGTTTTGGATGATTACTTATCAGGGTTTAAAAATATAAAGGCAAATAAAGATTGGTCTTTCTACTTGAGGTCAGTAGTTCACTGATTTTTGTCAAGAAAAGGAGTTTACTAGATTTCCTTTTGCACTATCAGACAGCTTGTCATTTTTTATGTGATAGACTATGTAATTATTTTTCACGGTGGTATACTATCCATCTCTATATATACACACATACATTTACACTTACATATTTACCCTATGGCACTGCATTCACTGTGCAAGTGTACCAAAACCTATTTAAGATGCAAACATCAAAGAGGAAGGGGAAAAGCAGTCCTATTGCCACTATGTGTAGATGTCTGAGAAAGTCTCCTAAAGACCAATTGATCAATATACAAAAATCGTCACAACTGCTAAAGGCTGCCAACATAATCTTTTAAAGCAAATGTAAAAGTAGATACTGAAAAATGTGGGTTACCAAAGTATTCTTTACCTCTGGCTCCCCACTCTGTGCTGTCTCATATTCTTGCAAGTCTCATTGGGATGCTTGGTAAACACACTTCACCTTTCTTTCTTCAGTTTCAGGGTAGAAAGGCTCCCTTTAACTCCTGAAGACAGTAAATCACAGTCTGTGTGGTGGTTCTCAGAAGACACTTAAAGGACTGAACTGGATGCTCTACATAGCACCCTTGCCAAAAGGGTTCGGAAATGACTTCCAGCTTCCCACAGTAATAAAATGGCACTGTTTGGCATCTTCGAGGTAATAAAAGTGAATTTTTTCCATTCTAGTAAATGAGAAGAGAGGCCTGGTTGTTTTAAAAACTGATTTAAATTCGTGTGTTTTCCTCACATTATAGAGCGTGATATGAGCACATTTAGGTGAACTTCAGACCACCTCAGAACATTACTATCCGCAGCTCTCTGGGGCAGAACTGGATATGCTGGCGGGTGGTAGAAGGGAGGTTGGAAGGATGGCCAGGTGCCCTGGACACTGCAGCCGTGATACGATAGGTGGCGCTCTCCCCTCTGAGTCCGTGTGAAAGATCTCCGAACGTGCTCTTTGGAGGATATTATTTTGCTTGAAGGAAATGTCTTGGACGTTCATCAGTGTTTCTGGCACTGTTTAACAGCTGCTGAGTCTCATAGCAGACTCTGGCTGTATTTTGGTGATGGGAAAAGCTTTAGAAAACAGATTTCCTGTCTTTAAGGAGGAGGCTTATGTTAGGCATTATTGTCATTTGTATACAAGACTTTTTATAATTCAATTTCGCTGTCCTCCCAGTTGCAAAGGAAAATCTTTTGTCATTCCTATTTGACTCATAGGGTCTAGGAAGAAGTTTGATCATCTTCCATTTCCCATCTGGTTATTCATAAGACACCTGCATCTCTGTGATTTCTCCTAGACTACACAATGCTACCAACTGACAACAGACGTTGTATAAAAAAAGGCCACCTTTCAGAAAAGGAACCTGAACATTAAAAGCTTGTCAACCAAACACACGGGATATAGCTTTTATTCCTTATTTCAACTGCACCAGAAGTGGAAATTATAACTCTTTTAAGCAGAAAAGACAAGATTGATACTTTTTACATAGAATCCAACCCACATTTGTCTTTGTTTATATTTTGCAATTATAAGGCTATTAGAAACAAATTAGTAGCATCACCGAAGAATTTTTAATGACTTGCTGATTTCAACTATTGCCAAATACCCTCATCTACTCATCACATTCTTAATTAAGAGACACCAGTGTGTGTGTGTTTTTATAATCTCTTTGTTAAAATTACTCAGTAGTGGCCTCAGTAGTTACAGACTAGTCCATTAATTTATTAGAGAGATTCAAAAGATTATTACAAAAGAAGCAGGATGTAGACACACCCAGCTTAACAATAGTGGGGAAGAGAGGGGTCCCTAACAAAAGATATGATAAGAGGAAAGGGAAATATCACTGCAGTTCATAATGATGGTTGGTAAACAGTTGAGTACATGTTTTTAAGTCTGTAACAACTTGGTTCAACAAAGTAAGAATTAGTTGTAAATGCTAATGTCTTTGACTTACAAATCCTCCCTGTGAGTATGACCCAACTCAGAGCATTTGACTTCAATAGGTGACCATCTGCGATAAAAAGGACAGTGGTTCCTTCTGTGCTAGTCCTGAAATACTAATAGAGGCAGCATTCCTGCCCATAGTAGGAAATCAATAAATACCTGCTGAACGGATGAATACATGACTAAACATGTGAAGAACAGTATCTCCTTTTTCTAAAGTACCATTACAGAAGTAATGGTACTTTCAACAAATATGTAAGGGTAAAAACAGTTACATTCTTGATCTTTAAAGTGTAATATATTTCTCCCCCATATTTCTTCTTTTTTAAAATATAGAAACTGTACTTTATGTACCCTGAACAACCTTCCTGCAAAAAAAAAAAAAAAGAAAAGAAAAGAAAAAAAAACACAAAGCACATTTATCTCTGCCTCTTACATTAACAGGCTTGCCTAAGAGTTTTTATGGTTATACTTCAACTTGTTCCCTGTATGCTACCTCCTCTGTAACTTGACTTTAAATTATCTGTTTATCTTCTCATATTGCAAATATTATTGAATACATGTAGTAGATTAAATAATCAGTGTCGTTTGAATATTCTTAGTTGTGATTTCCTAGTTTAACATTCACATTTTGCATCCAAATGGTATTTGTCTTCATATAATTGATAAAATTCCATTTATTCATTCATTTAACATATATATTGGTTGAATGCCTATCATGTGGAAGATAGCCTACTAAATGTAGAAATTCACCAGAAAATAATCAACTTCTCTTTCTTCCCCAAAATCAGAGTTCCCTAATACTACAGGTTTACTTTAATTTGGTCAGTGGTACCAAGTAGTCAGATAGGTGAAATATTTCCTTTAGGAGGGTGGTACTGAAAGCTGTCCATTCTTAAGAAGCATCTGTGATTATGTATGTAGTAAAACAGGTTCTGAAATTAATTATCTTAGAATTGGGCTCAGTAGACCTGGCATAGATCCCAAGAATTTGCAGCATTTCTAACAAGTTTCCCAGGTAACTCTCAGGCACGCAGTTCTCAGAACGTGCTTAAGAATTACTGCCTTAAAATTTAAAGAAAATTTTCTTTTCATGCCATGCTATATTCTACATACAAAAAGCATCTTCCTTTATTATTTTTCTATAAAATACTATTTAAACTTTCCTGAATTATATTTTATAATTACAACAAAATCTGTTGTGACCCATGCAGATTACTATACAATTCTTTATCCCTTTAAATGGAGTAGAAATACAAGAAGAATGCTAAATATAATTTTTTTTAAAAAACTCACACTTTAATCATAAGAAAAATACTTTGATTGCCATTACGTGACTCTAAATTGGTAAATCATTACAATGATAATTTATATTTTGGTTCATTAACTTTACAAAATATTACTCAAAAGTTCCTGCAAGGTGCTTTTTCTTTAATACTTTATAATTTTTCCTTCAAAATATTTTATTAGCTCACAATGAGTTTTTCATATGATTTTAGAGAATAGTAATATAAGTGATGTTTTCCTTCTTGTATTAGTAATACTTTACTTCTACCTTTTTGGAATGGATTATTTTTCTGTATAAGTTCCTTTCAGTAATATGGCACCATGTCATAGGTGGTGAACACAGTGACATTATTTAAGGTCAGGGTACAGAGAAAATATATTACTAGGCTCTACTTGTTGTATTAGGGTCCACCTTTCTTTCACAGAAACATTGGCTTGTTATTTCATAATTTGAGTTCCAGACTCGGTTTTCTTGCTTCTAAGGTTGGTAGGTCATTTCTTTAACAAGATTTGATATATTTCTAATCTTTTCTAATTTGAATATTATCATAGTGTGATCTGCTGATTTTTAAAAAATATATCAGTAGTGCCCAAGCTGCATTAGGAGATTTCAGCTGATATTAAATTAACCCCAACCGCCACCTCCAGTCAAATGTGGCACCTTTGCATGACAATATCACACCCTCTTTTATTATATTTCTTCTTTTTTAAAAAAAAAAATGTATTTTAAGGGGCTCACTTGAAAATAACTCATAATAATAGGCAATTGTGAAATGTTTAGTTTCATTGAGTGCTCTAACCACTTTCACCTGAATAATCCAGCTCTCCAAAGGCTGAAATCTATTCTAGCTACTTTGAATACATAGTGTCCAATGGTAACTACAAATATATTCTAGGGCTCATCAAAATGGAATGAACCAGAATATCTACACACTCAAAACAAACAAACAAAAAGGAATAGATATTCATTTTTAAAGTTTTAAAGGGCTAAAAAAATCGCAACACTATTTTAAAATATATAGACTTCCACATAATAATATGCCCTTGAGCCGGGAAATCATTATAATAAAATTTTGTGGCAAAAACCCTCCACTGTTTTTGTGGTGGCATTTCTGCCATGTTTCAAACTAGAACTCCTATGAATCTTGAAATTGAACAAACAGGAAAATAGAAATCTCACCTGTCTGTATTCAGACCTAATCAATGAATTGAAATAAGATTCCAGGCCCGGTGTGGTGCCTCAAGCCTGTAATCCCAGCACTTTGGGAGGCTGAGGAGGGCAGATCACGAGGTCAGGAGATCAAAACCATCCTGGCTAACACGGTGAAACCCTGTCTCTCCCAAAAATACAGGAAAAAAAAAAAATTAGCCAGGTGTGGTGGTGGGTGCCTGTAGTCCCAGCTACTTGGGAGGCTGAGGCAGGAGAATGGCGTGAACCCAGGAGTCGGAGCTTGCAGTGAGCCGAGATTGGGCCACTGCACTCCGGCCTGGGTGACAGAGTGAAACTCCAAAAACAAAAACAGACAAGCAAACAAATAAATAAGATTCCAAATAAAACTTTCTAAGTTGCTGAGGTTGATACATTAGTATCTGATTTCAAATATGTAGCAATTTAACTAAACAAATTCATGTTAAAACAGAATCTATACTTTGATCATTCCTTTTTAAATGAAATCATGATAATTTTGACAGGATTCTCTATACTGAGGTATCCATTTCCTCACTGGAGTTCTGATAGATGCTACAAATAAATAAAAGTTTAAAGGGTTTTTCCACAAATGATGAGGAGGCTAAGAATCCAGGAATGCAATGCACTAGACTGGTAGCAGACCAAGCAGCAGAACTAAAGCTCAAAAGTAGGTAAAGGAACTTTCTATCAATAACTGCAATAATGAAGTATAAAGTGGAGCATATTTATACTTCTGAACTGTTTCTTTATTCAGCATCCTTATACAGAAAATCTTCTTTATCTTTTTTATTATTATTAGTTATTTATTTAGAGACAGTCTAGCTCTGTCACCCAGTCTGGAGTGCAATGGCGTGATCTCAGCTCACTACAACCACCACCTCCTGGGTTCAAGCAATTTTCCTGCCTCAGCCTCCCTAGTAGGTGTGATTACAGGCGTCCACCACCACACCTGGCCATTTTTTGTGCTTTCTTTTAGTGGAAACAGGGTTTTACCATGTTGCCCAGGCTGGTCTCGAACTCCTGACCTCAAGTAATCTCCCTGCCTTGGCTTCCCAAACTACTGGGATTACAGGCAGGAGCCATTGCACCTGGCCATTCTTTATCTTTTTAAATGTCGTAGTTGCCTAATTGTAAATATTATGCAAATATCTACTTATTTGCCAAATGACAAATCCAAAATACCAAGCATCATCAAACTTTGGAAAATGCATAAATATCTCTAGGACAGTATTTT